GTGCGCTCCTCCACTCGCTTTGCCTGCACCTCATCCCAATTGTCGGCCTCTAAATCGTGGTTGTCGTCGGGTATTGGCTGGTGGGCTGCAGGGACTTGGAAATTGTCATGTTGTTCTGCACGCTGGGCTGCTTGTTGCTCTGCATGATGTTCTTCTTTCTTTCCATGCTGCTGCACTGCAGCATGGGCGGCTTCTTGCAGGTGAGCTTGATATGCTGCTTGTCGAGCTGCGACCTCTGCAGCCCCTGTGTCGATGATCGGTAGTTGCCCAACTGCTGCTGCTGCCGCATGCGCTTGTGCTGCCGCCGCTGCACTTTGTTGAAGCCACTTCTTGTGGTCGATGACCTGCTGTCGCTCCTGTGTGGCAAAGTAGTCCTCAGTTGGCGTTGAGGGTGACGGCAGGGGTCCTGTTGCATCCAATTCTGTGCCTTCTGCCGCAATCTGGCTCATCATCTTCTCCTGCTGTTCGGTCATCTTGTTGATGTAGTACTGCTGGTACACTGCTTGTTGCTCGTAGAAGGCCTTTGCCGCCTGTGACTCAGCTTGTGTGTCTCGAAGCTGCGCTTGTAATTTGCCATTCTCCACTGTCTGTTGAGCCACCATCTGCATCAACTGCTGGATCTGTTCAACGTGCCCATCTTTGTGCGGAGTCTCTGCTACTTCAGGGCCGTATGCTGAGCTTGATGGCGGCATGCCTCCTGCTGGGAAGGTGCGTCGTTGTGGGTTCTGCCTTGGCCTTCCCAGCCTTGGTTCAACTTGCATTACTTCATCGTCCAGATCTTGCTCATGTTCGTCTTCCATTTCTCCTTCAGCTTCTTCTTCCTCGCCGTCCCTGTCTTGGATGGCGACCACCAACGCTTCGTGGGCCCTGTCGATCTGGTACTGCAAGTCATCCAGCTCCTCGTTGATCTTCTTGGACTGCTTGACCTTCATCCTGTACTGCTCCTTCAGGGCCTCATGGTGCTTTCTGTGTCCCTCCACCCGTGCTGCTGCTGGACGCATTATGTCTATGATGTACTTCATGACCGCGATCTTGAACTCTGTCTCTTTCACGTCCAGCTGCGCCTTCTTGCCTGACAGGGCGGCCATGCCAAGCTGGGATTGTTTGGCATATATTCTGTATCGGAATGCCCGTGCTGCGCTCTGGTCCGTGGGGGGCTCCTCGAAATCCCTTGACGATCTCGCCTCCTCTGGTGTAGCTATGGGTATCCCATCAATCATCTTCTGCAACTCGGCCGAGCGCTTGGGTGGGGCTTTTTCCTTGTCGGTCTTGCGTCTGCTGCTTCTGGGCGTGTGTTGTCGTTGTCCAGCTTGCCCTTTTGTCCAACATGAGCACCTGTCGCAAGACCATGGGTTTGACAATCCACAAGTATTACACTTCCATCTGCCTTCATGCCGTCCACCCAATGAGTCCCGTTGCCCTCGTGTTTGCGACTGCTGTCTCTGCCTTCTTGAGCTGGAGCGGTGGCGGTGTTCTCCATGAGAGGCCATTGCCGAGTGGTGATGCCGTAGCAAATGTGCGGCTTTGTGCAGTCGTAGTAGTACTCTGGCTGCTGCCCTTGTCCTTCTTGATCTCCTGTGCCAGGCCGGCGACCTCGGCCGCTTGATACTGGCTGGTAACGGCGCTCCAGGCCCACGATCCACCAAGGTCCTCGATGTAGGTGGTGGAGCACCTGGCCTCGGCGGGAGGCTGGGTGCTGGACGCGGGTTTGGGTTCCCCGCGACTATGGCTGCGGCTGCGGGCCGCGGGCCGCGGGCGCGGGTGGCGCCGCGCTTGGGCGCGGCCGCGGGTCCTGGGCTGCCTGCCCGGCCTTCGGGCCTTGGCGCCTCTCCTCGTCCTCCTCCACCTCCTCCTCCTCCACCTCCTCCTCCTCCTCCTCCTCCTCGACCTCCACCTCCTTCCCCCCTCCAGCTTATTGGGGTCGCGGCCCCAGGGGCCCAGCCCGCGAGGCCGTGGATGAGGATAGACGCGCGCGGGCACACGTGCTCCACGTCGGCGCATTGTCGCCCCAGGTGGGAGCGGGGAGCGCGAGGGCTTTTGGGCCCCTCCGGAGCCCCAGATCTGGCCAGAAGTGGCGCGCTCCACCACAACACCGACCATGGCATCTCCGCAACAAGAGGTTTCACCCCGCGATCCTTCCCCTTCTTCCCCTGAGACCCGAAGTTGCCAAGAGTTGAAACATCGCGACTAAATCACGGCCGGAGCCCCGGACTCTTTCTGCGTCATTGTTCGAGCCCGATCGATCTGTGAGGGTTCCGGGGTCCGAGGCCGAGGGAGAACGCCCGTGGTGAACAAGCTGCGGCGCCAGGATCTCAGGGCCCTCCCTGCTTGAGGAGGAGGAGGAGGAGGAGGAGGAGGAGGAGGAGGAGGAGGAGGAGGAGGAGGAGGAGGAGGGGAGGAGAGGAGGAGGAGGAGGAGGAGGAGGAGGAGGAGGGAGGAGGAGGAGGAGGAGGGGGAGGGGGGGAGGGGGAGGGAGGAGGAGGCCGCGGCGGAGGAGGTTCTTCCACGCGATCGCCTGCGCGGAGCACCCGGAAGTACCTCTCGATCAGCTCCGCGGCCCGTGGGTCGGCGGCCTCGGGGTCCAGGGGCCTGCCGGGGGCAGGGCCGCGGCCTCCCGCCCTCCGGCGCGCGGTCTCCTCCAGACCCTCCAGGCAGCCGAGGGCGCTGCTGCCCTGCCCGCGGGCCCCTCGGAGCCTCGACCACTGCTGGGAGGTCTTCGTTCCGCTCCCTCCCGCCCCTCAACCCCTGCTGCCTCCCGCCCCTCGAAACCTCGAAACCTCGACGATTGACGAGAATGAAACCCCATTGCGGGGCTGTTACGCCGGATACGACCGCGGACTGCGCGGGATTAGGCTATATAGATGCAACCGGACCGAGCTGGATGGGCTGGGATCGAGCCGGATTTCGGGCCCGGGCAGACTCAGAACTGGACCTCCCAGGAGCTGCCTCCGAAGGCCCCGTCCCCGCCCGCCCCGGAGCAGCTGTCGTGCTGGAGCCCGCTGCGCGCCCCCCGTGCAGGCGGACCCAGGGTTGAGTGGATAGCTCGGATCGGCGACCGAAATGAATCGGATCGCCTCCTCCTCCTCCTCCTCCTCCTCCTGCGGCAATCGGCAGCCAAGTCGGAAGGAGTCGCATCGCGGGACAAATCGGCGGAGCAGAGGGCCTCCCGTGGCGACATCGGAGTCCAGAGATCGGAATCCGAAATCGAGTCGGATCGGTATCGGAAGCCATCGAGATCGAGTCGAATCGAACTCCTCCTCCTCCTCTTCCTCCTCCTCCTCCTCGAGCTCTGCCTCCGTGAGGCCAGAACTGAAACAAAAAGCGCCGCGGCTGTAGGGATCAGGCCACCTAGACCTAGAGTCCCGAGGGCACCCTATCCTCGGAGACCGTCCGAGAGAAGCATCGCGCCGCCCAGCAGCTGCCAGGACCTCCTCCTACGGGATCTCCCTCCCCGAGGTTGGGGGTCGGGGAGGCCGGTGGACCGTTTTCGTTGTGACTCCGTTTCGCAGCACAGGCAGAAGGAAGCCAGGACGAAGGGAAAGCAAAAACGAAAATCACGGCTCAGCTCGGGCCCTGCCCTTCCCAGGGTCGGGGCTCGGGGAGGCCCGACATCCCCAGAGATCAGGCGCTTCGACTGAGGGCTCGAGCTAAGCAGCGTTTTTCGTTGTTGTTGTCCTTCGTCCTGCCTTCTCTCCGCCTCTGCCGCGAAACGGCATCATCAAAACGAAAACGGTCCACGAAATCGCCAAAACACCGCTCGACTCGAGCCCTGCCCTCCCCAGGGTCGGGAGCCGAGGCGGCCAGAGGTCCCTAGAGATCAGGCGCTTCGACTGCTGTCGACGCGACGGCCATTTCTCGACCCACTCCCCGAGGCCAGTGATTTCACCACCCTTCGGACTGGGGTTGCCAGGATTTGCGACCAACCCCGCCCGCCAGCCAGCCGTGCATGTTACCGCGGCCGCCAGGCCCAGAGAATCCCGGGTGGTCTTTGAGTGTCACTCCTCGCCGAGCCCCACCGGGGAGGCGTCACAACGTCACACCGTCCAGACGTCACGACGTCAGTCCGGCCACAGGCATCTAGAACATACGTGAAGACACGCCTTTGCGAACACACAGCATGACCATACGCAAACCACGTACACACAGACGACACATACACACCACACACCAATGACTCATGTATATATCAGCATGAGTAACGAACGCCAGCAACCTATACAAGTGGCACATACCAGGAACTTAAGTCACTGACATACGTCCACCAGAGACACCACTGTCATATTCACCAATAACACATGTACCACTGACATACAGCAGACACGTAAAACCACAATGCACATCATACACACCGTCATCGCTCGTGCCCTAACATCCCGTAGCACATGGTAACAACACACATGACTCACATACTTCAAAGACATACGCCAACAGCGTGTCTCAGTAACAAGCAACACGGACGCACGTCAACCATAATCAACAATAATCAACAAGAACCGACCGAACAACGGACACCCGTAAAAGCTTCCAGGAGGCCTCGGCAGGCTGGGGCATCCAAACTCGTTCGGCGATGGGTGGTCGATTAGGGGCAATGTCTTCCTCCGACAACCTCACCTCCGTCAGCATCAACCAATGCGCAAGTCTGAGGACGCCTGGCTCATCTGTCGTCTTCTCCCCCTCTTCCTCCTTTCCCCCTTCTGGCAGCAGCAAGGGCGGATAGAACGGCGCGCCTGTATCACATCGCGTCGTTCGGCATGCGAACAGAGAAAATCCCAGCTGAAGATTTACATTTCGGAAACAAAAAGGTACCTACCGCTACTCCCCGGACCTTTCCTGTGGTGCGTTCTGCTAAAGATTTCGAGGCGAATCCAGCCGTGACGACGAGGGCCTCACAGGAGGCCCGACAAGGCAGAACGAGTGAAGGGGTACGCAGCGGTGTCGGTACCTTCCCCTTCTCTGACAAATATTAAAACCGCACTAGCCGCGCGTGCGCCGATCACTGTCTAAATAATCTGGTCTTCCCCCTTGAGCTGCTTCGGGGTGCTGTCGGGCTTGTCCACGGCGTTCTCCGTGTACAGCTTGTTCAGGGCGACCGAGATCGTAACCCCGGCGAAGAGGCCAAAGACGACGAGCCCGACGAAGACGTTCGCAGCCTCCTGCTGCCTCTCGTCGTAGGGGCTGCTCCCTGCGGCGAACACTGGATCCGTCGTCAGGCCGAGCACGGCAACGGCTGCGGCCAGAGCCTTCGTCTCCCTCGTAGCAGGCGCCGCGGGAGTAGTGACGAATGCTTGGCGCACCTGGCACAGTGCCAGGAAGGACGCGGCGAGGACCAGGGCGCTGAGGAGACTGCCACGGCGAGGGGCCATTGCTGGGCTGGGGCGGCGAGGCGAAGCTGACACACAAGCTCGTGCCTCGGGGCAACGCAACGATGGTAAGAGTGTTCAGTGTCGCGGTCATGGCTATGGCAATGTATGCTGATGAGCTTGGCGATGCGAGTGCACGTTGTGCAACTTGCGAACGCGAAGCGCTTGAAATGCCACAGTGACAAGGTCAGCGGAACAATATTGAATGACGATGATGATCATGATGATCGCATGGATGAATACAACCACTCGGCACTGCAGCTTTCTTCCTCGCCCCGCTCAGTGCTCTCTTCACATTGCGCCGATCTCGTGGGAGTGAGGAGCATCGTGTGAAAAAGAAGCATGAGGAGAAGCAGGAGGTGCAGCAGCCAAGAAAGACTTTGGAGCGCTGTCTGAACAGTCTACTGCGAGGCAATGAAATCTACGCTTGGAGACTGGTGTGGGGGTTCGGGCCGGATGGAACGGCGTGCCTTTATCACATCACATCGTTCGGCATCCAAACAAAGAAAATTGCATAAGTAACATTAAGAATGTGGGAACCAACAGATCCCGACACCGCTACTTCCCAGACCTCTCCCAGGGAGCGCTCTGCTCAAGATTTCGAGGCGAACCCAGCCGTGGTGACAAAGGCCTCCAAGGAGGTCGAAAAAGGCGTACGCAAACGAGTGGTGCAGCGGTGTCGGTACCAGTTCCTCCTCAGACAAATATTAAGCACTGGCCGCGCGTGCGCGGATCACTGTTTAAATAATCTGGTCTTCCCCCTTGAGCTGCTTCGGGGTGCTGTCGGGCTTGTCCACGGCGTTCTCCGTGTACAGCTTGTTCAGGGCGACCGAGATCGTAACCCCGGCGAAGAGGCCAAAGACGACGAGCCCGACGAAGACGTTCGCAGCCTCCTGCTGCCTCTCGTCGTAGGGGCTGCTCCCTGCGGCGAACACTGGATCCGTCGTCAGGCCGAGCACGGCAACGGCTGCGGCCAGAGCCCTCGTCTCCCTCGTAGCAGGCGCCGCGGGAGTAGTGACGAATGCTTGGCGCACCTGGCACAGTGCCAGGAATGACGCGGCGAGGACCAGGGCGCTGAGGAGACTGCCACGGCGAGGGGCCATTGCTGGGTTAGGGCGGCGAGGCGAAGCTGACACACAAGCTCGTGCCTCGGGGCAACGCAACGATGGTAAGAGTGGTTATTGTCGCGGTCATGACTATGGCAATGTGCGGCGATGTTGGTGGCGATGTGAACACACTCTGTGCAACTTGCGAACGCGAAGCGCTTGGAGTCCCACTGTGACAAGGTCAACAGATCAGTCTTGAATGACAATGATGATCATGATGATCGCATGGATGAATACAACCACTCGGCACTGCAGCTGTCATCCCCGCCCCGCTCCGTGCTCTCTTCAGGGTGCTCCGATCTTGTGGGGTTGAGCTGCATCGTGGAAAAAAGATGGAGAGAAGCAGGAGGTGCGGCACGTGAACGCTTTCTTCTTCGGCGTCTCGACATTGGGCGGAAGGGAGGGGGAAAGCGGGGGGGTGTCTGGCTCCGGACCTCTGCTCAATGCGACTGTTTGCAGCGGTGCGTCCCATGAGGGAGACTCCACCTGCTTTTCGGACGCCCGAAGTGGGCACGGAAAACATGGGCACAATGCCCAACAACATATGTCGCCCCAAACCACCAGTGGCCGCTGATGGGCGGGCGGCCTTCTGTCTCGAATGGTCACAGGCCGCTGCGGCGTGGACAGCGACAGCGAGGCCTGTTCAAAAGGAACAGGAACTGCTGTGAGGCCGAGAGTTAAGTCGGGCGTGTCCCCCTACAGGGGGATTTTCGACAAAAAATGGTATAGAAAAGCTCCCGACTGGTAAAAAGATACAAAAAATAGTCCCAGACTATTTTTTTACTATTCTTGAATATTCCCCCTGTAGAGGGACAGGTCCGACATATGCCGAGGGGGGAGGGGGAGAGAAGGCCCGAGCACGAGCACCAGCCAAGCGTGACCCTGGAGCGCCGCCTGGGATGTCTGCTGCGGGGCGTCAGGAGCAGCGCCTGGAGACCGGTGTGGGGGGGCATTCGGTCGGGGCTTGGGTTTTTCTTTCGAGGGGGGGCGGGGGAGTCGGAAGGTCGCTTCTGGGGAAGGGGTCGCTCCCGTCTTGTTTGTTCGGAGGGGTCGCTTCTGGGGGGTCAGTTCGGCTTCTTATGTGAAGAACCCGTTGGGCCCTCTGTGCGGGCCACACGGCTGCGCGGATGAAAGTTGAGCATCTCGGCAGCTTGGTTCGCATCCTTGCAGCATTGCCCCTTAGGAGAGCAGCACCTTGGTAATCGAGATGTTCTAGCAATCGCCTGGGCACTGCCCGCTCCTCGCTCCGCACCCAACGCCACGTGCCGCACCAATCCCGCACGCTTCCAGGATCTGAATACGGGTCGCTCCTCCTCCTCCTCCTCCTCCTCCTCCTCCTCCTGCTCCTGCTCCTGCTCCTGCTCCTGCTCCTCCTCCTCCTCCTCCTCCTCCTCTTCCTCCTCCTCCTCCTCTCCTTCTCCTCCTCCTCCTCCTCCTCCTCCACCTCCTCCTGCTCCTCCTCCTCCTCCTCCTCCTTCTCGTGCCTCCTCGTTTCTCATCCTCCTGCTCCTGTTGCTGGGTATCCTGCTTCTCCTTGCCCTCCTTGTCTCACGCCGGCCTCTTGCTCCTGTCCCCGTCGCATCCTCCTCCTCCTCCTCCTGCTCCTCCTCCTGCTCCTCCTCCTCCTCGTCCTTCTTCTTCGTCCTCCTCCTCTCATCCCCTCGTTCCTTGTCTGCGTCTCAATACCCCCTTCCTGCTGCTAGTGCTCCGTCTCCTGAACCGCTTCCTCCTCCTCCTCCTCCTCCTCCTCCTCCTCCTCCTCCTCCTCCTCCTCGACGCTGGCTCAAGACTGGCCCCCGGACCCTCTCGGGAGTCCGCCCCGTCCTCCTCTCTCCGAGCCGCCCACGGCCGCGGTTTTCCGCGGGGCCCCCCACAGGCCTAGCAGGAGGCGAAGGAGGGTGCCTCCGGCGCCCCCAGGCCGAGAGGAGGAGAAGGAAGGACGCCTCTGGCGCCTTCCTCCTCAGACCCCCGACGCCATGATCTTTGCCATGACATCAGGTCGGGCATGTTCTCCTACTGGAGGATTTTGGAAGACAAGTAAAACTAGTCACAACATATTGAGAACTAGACAGAAATAGTCAAGGAATCGTCCCCATACTATTTTTGACTACATGTTTGAACATTCCTCCTGTAGAAAGACATGCCCGACTTAACCATGAAGTTGATCCCCAAGGAGGCTCGACCCATTCCCCGGGACCGGTCTTTCATCCTGCATCGTTTCTTGACGGTCACGCGAGGCCCGGTAAGGGTCCCCGGAGGCTAGAAAGAGTGAAACGATTCCCGTCAGAACTGCTTCATGACTCGACGGGGTCCTCCCTCTGGATGTCGCCAGGAGAAACCCCTGGAGGTCTCAAGAGGTCTCTACGGCTCTCCGGAGGTCACAGGGAGTCTGCACGTGGCACGAGTCCCCTGGCGGCGCCAGGCTTGGAGGCCCCCACAGGGCCAAGGCCTCACGCAGATCAAGATCCTCGATCCTGCTATATCCTTTCAGGGATCGACTTAAACAGTGTTTGTCGTAGTCGTTTTGTTTTCGTTTCCTTCGTTTTGTAATCAATCCTCCTTTGCTGCAAAACGCAGTCCAAGCGAAAACGGCCCACGAAATCGCCAAAACACAGCTTAGGTCGACCCCTGGATCCTCCTCCCAATGGCCTATCTTTCACCCAGGCGAGGTAATCGCGGAGCTGCTCGTGGCCCCACTCGCACGTCGCCGCCCCGCCTTTGGTCGGGGAAGGGAGGGGGGGCGGGACGGGGAGGAGGAAACAGCGATGAGGAGCCCTGCCACTCTGAAGGCGATGCAGGACTCCCCCCATCCTCCCCCCAATGATCGACGTTGGCGGTGGCTCTGAGGAGCTGCAATTCGATCGCAATCGTCCCCCCGCGGGCCAAACCTTGAATTTTGAGTGGCCCGCGTACAGCCGGACCTACGCAACAAATCTCACATCCTTCAAGTACATGAGACCCTCCGCTGGAAAAACTGAAGAGCACGCCAGGGTACCCTGCCCCAGGATGCACAAGAACATCCAACAATAACGAAGAACACTCGGGTACCTCCCCGACCTGGAACTTGTTTTTGGCTTGGCCACGGCGGGCCAAGCCAAAAACAAGTTCCACTGCATCCAACAAGCGCGAAGAACACCAGGGTAGCCTCCCCGAGCCGACCTCGATGCGATGCCAAGGCAGCCCGAGCGAGGAGGAGGAGGGCTGCCACTTTCGCCACCACCCCGCCCCCCCGCTGACATCGCGGCAACCGCGGGGGGACTCACGCCGAGACGGGAAACGGAAGAGAGCGGTGGAACAGGAAACGGCTGCCACTCCCGCAGCGCCGCGGAAACGGCGGGAAACGAAAAGGGCGCCAGACTCGGGAAGCAAGGCCTCCCGGAGCTCGCCGAGCCGGCGTCGCAACGAGACACCGCCTCTTGACGGAGCAATTCACGGTGCGCCCGCTGAGCCAAGACGCGCAGGGGAAACACAGTACCCTTCGCACGGCAACAGCGGGGGACGAGCCGTGCATCTTGAAACCTGCGACTGGAATCATGTAAAGTGAACGGGCCACAAGGCCACAAGGTGGTGGGGGAGGAGGGAGTGCGCGCCTTCCCCCTGGGTCGGGGTGCCCCACGCACGTGCAGGCAGACAGCACCGGAGCGCGCGCACGTCCACGAAACGCGGCGAGGCAGTCACCAGGCGACGCCAGGACGACGAGGCGAGCCACCCCTGGTCTGGAGGAGGAGGAGGAGGAGGAGGAGGAGGAGGAGGAGGAGGAGGGGGAGGAGGAGGAGGAGGAGGAGGAGGAGGAGGAGGAGGGAGGAGGAGGAGGAGGAGGAGGAGGACGAGGCGAGCCACCCCCTGGCGAGGGTGCGCAAAGGTCGCCCCGAGCCGACTTGCCACGTCTCGCCCCACAGGGCTGGGGGCCCGAAGCGCCCTCGGCGGGCGCCCGATGCCGACCCGAACCTCGTGAGGCCAGGGGCGGAATCCCGTAGATGAAGGGGCCCCAAGGACACACACGTAAAGACACACAGATAAACTTGTTCCTCATCTTTTCCCATATTTTTTGAATTTGTGTCTTCCCCCCCACTTCCAACATTTCCCCACATCTTCCTGGGAGTGGACGATCCATTGTGTCTGTGTGTTTTCCCTTCCCGAGTAGAAGGGAAGCGGGCCACACGGCCACAAAGAAACCAACGGCACAAAACAGGTCAAGCAGCAGCAGGTGGAGGCCTCGGTCAGGTTTCCCCACCCTACCCCCGCGGCCCGACTTAACGGGAACTCGCGGTGTGTGGGGTCGGGGGATGCCTTTACGGGAGGGGGCCTCAACGCCGGGACTGTCGGACAGAAGACGGACGATCAGTCAGTCGTCGGATAAACCCGAAGACGAAGAATGTGAAGACCGGCCGTCCAAACCATGCCAAAAAAGACCCGCGGGCGCCCAGCGGTCGATCGTCCTCACCTCGAGCTACTGCCGCACGGCTAGCAACACTCGAAGCAACACTCGGGGCTCCCCTGGCGGCGTCTTCCACACGCCTAGCGGACGCCACCTGTCGGAGCACCCTCGTTCCATCATCGACGTCGTCGCCGCCGTCCATGAGGGGGGGCTCGAAGGAGGAGTGGGGAATCGTTTCAGCAGGCAGCTCGTCTGGCCTGCCCACACCTAAGGGTTTCCTCGGGTGTCTGCCTAGCATTACATGGCTGAACTTGGTTAAGCCATTCCCTCGCAACTCCTCAGGGATGCTTTTGAGAGGCTCGTCTGACTGCACACAGCCTGATTCATATACGCTCCACATTTGGATCAGAAAAATAAATCGGCACCATCGGCGCAGGGCATCACAAACGGAATGTGTCCGAGCGAATCGACTACGTCCAGATCGTGATTGGCGACTTCTTTGCAATCCCCCCCAGGTGGGATGGACACAAAACGGGACCGTAACCTACATACGGTGTGCCTCCACACTGAATGCTGCCGCGGGCAGTCAGTCAAATGGGGTCTAGGCCAGAGCGGAAGCAGCTTAGCGGCAAGCCTGCACACAACCTTGTTGCTCCTCACACATTTGTTGACACGCTCAACCTCAAGCACGGAGGGCTGTGGGTGGGACCGCGCCCCTCTGTGGGCAGCCTTGTCGGCGAAATCAATGCCGATCCTCGGCTGCGTATCCACCTCCGAAATACCAAATTCACAAAAATCCTGATGAGCCAGATGAATCGGAGGAGGAGAAGGAGGAGGAGGAAAAACAGGATGAGGAGGAGGGGGGAAAGGGGAGGGAGGAGGGGAGGAGGGAAGGATGAGGAGAAGGAGGAGGAGGTGGAGGAGGAGGAGGAGGAGGAGGGGAGGAGGAGGGAGGAGGAGGAGGAGGAGGAGGAGGAGGAGGGAGGAGGAGGAGGAGGAGGTTGGAGCGTCTGGGGGGGCCAGCGTCTTCATACCGAACTAGAGCTGACGTGGCCGCCTGCGGCCTGATTTGCCGAGGGGAAGGTCGACTGCTTGAGGAGGACGAGGAGGAGGAGGAGGAGGAGGAGGAGGAGGAGGAGGAGGAGGAGGAGGAGAGGAGGTGAGTAAAGAGGAAGAAGAGAAGGTGAGCGAGGAGAAGGAAGTGGAGGAGGAGGAGGAGGACGAGGAGGTGAGTGAGGAGAAGGAGGAGGAGCATGAGGGGGAGGTGCGCGAGGAGGAGGAGGGGAATGTGAGCGAGGAGGGGTAGGTTGAGGAACATGATAATGAGCACGAGTGCTATGGGAACTCCAGTCGGCCAACAAGCACACTCACACCAGCTTGCATAACATAATCTGCACTACACTACCCTGAGCACACAAAGATTGCAACACAGTAGCTCCACCGCGGCATTCGAAACACCCGGGCTCGTGATAGCCAGGGACCCTGGCCGCACACCGCCCGCACTGGGCCTGGAGAGGCAGGCCGCGCGGCACGCAGCCTGGAGCCACCCCCTGGCACCACCAAAAAACAAATACCGGAGCCCCTCCTTCGACGACCTCTACCCTTCGATCGAAGCTCGCGGTGGATCTCAACTAGGGGCCCACCCCATCCGTCTACGGCGCTGATGGGGGCCGCCGATTTGCCTCCCATCGCCGCGGGATGATTGAGAGAGGAAGAGGCGGAGGAAGGAGGCTCGACGGAGGAGAAGAAGCGAGTGGCGATCTCAAGAGCAGGGCCTGAAAGCCGCCCTGCACCAACAAGTTCACGAAGCCTGCAGTTCCCCCTTCATCACTTCTTCTTGAGACGATCGAGCAAGACCTGCCCCTCTCGCTCTAACGCCCGCCCCCCTGGAGAACTGCCTAGCGACGGCTTCCCCCCCGCCTTGTGGAAAGCGGCCTCGAACAGACGCTGCGCGATGATGCCGGTCTCCGTCGGCTGGAACAGGTAGGTAATATTCGCCACCTCGCGCTTGCCCTCCACCTCCTTCGCCCTCGTGCGCAATAGGTAGCGGACGTCGGGCGTTGCCGTCAGCATGCCGTCGCCCTTGCAGAACACGTCGGTGCTGTGCGGCTTCACCATCTGAAAGTGATCGCCCCGGGACTCGTTCTCTATGTCCGCCACCCTCGCCTCCTCTTGAGTCACCAAGGTCTCGACTAGACTGGCGTGCAGCACCATATGCGGAGGCCCCTGCGCGTTCTCGGGGGGCTCGTCGCCCTTGGCCAGCGCACTCTTCTTTAGCTTCGCCCAGCCCTGGGCCCGCTGGTTGTGCGCGACGCCGCGCCCCAGCAAGCCTCCGACCAGCGGGCCCTCCGAGGGCGTGACGTGAGCACGGTCGTGAAAATGGCGCCTGCGATGGCGCGGGAGTCCGCGGCGTTCGCCAGCGTCAGCTTGGCCGTCACCTCCGTCAGCGCGTCTAGCGCGGCCCGCTTCGACTCGCCGCCGCTGCCTCCGCCGCGGGAAGCACCTGCGTGCTTCTTCTGCTCTGTGCCCCCCTCGGTCGGCGACGCCGCGCGCTTGCGCGCCCATGCAGGCCGCGTCGCCATCGATCTTGGCTTGGGAAACGATCTGACCGATGGAGGAACACCAAATGCCAAGGCCATGAGGGAGATTGCAACACACATTGACATGTAGCTCGCGGAGGGATCCACCATCGAACTCGCACGCCAGACAACGAACGTGCTTGGGTTCACGAACGTTCGGTCGGGCGAAAGCGTTTCCTTTCCAGCAATGACCTCTCTCATAACTTTTAGGAAGATGTCGGTTCGCCAAGGCTTTCGTCGAGACAACCCCCAGGCAGCTCGGGCACTCACTGATTAGCGAGCGTCCGCACACTGCTTAGACTACGAACACCGCGGCCAGCACGATACGGGCACATAGTTTATTCTTAGAAATGAACCCCCCCCGCAAGCGACCCCATCAACATGAACCATACACGTAAACACAATGTTGTCACGAAGCCCTTCAGGAGCTCCAAAATCAATTATCCCCAGAAGCACCAGGGAAGCCCACAATCTCGGCGCCGGCGACCTGTAGAAAATAAAGGATGAGACTCAACGCCCGCCGTCAGAGTACGTCGGGACCCAGAGCGCAAAATTCTTGATTGACCTCGGGGTGGAGGAAAAAGGTCGAGATCTTCCCTTCAGCGATGTCCAGAAGGTCTTCGCGCCCCAGGGCCTGGCACAGCTGCGCAATGTCGACCCGGGTTCGTTTTGCCCAAGGGCTCGCTGTGGCGGCGACGGCCCCCTCCACTTGCGTCGGCGAGGCACTAATCGGCACGCCTCCAAACGCGCAAGCTACCTCCTGAAGACGATTGTGGGGGCGCCGAATCCAGCTCTGCAGCCGTGTCAATGCTCCAGTGTCTCAAGACTTGCAGAGTCGACAACGCTTTTACACGTGCGCCCCCCCAATCAGCTGCTCAGCCACGCATTGCCACGCCTCCGCATTGAGCGATGAAGAACCCGAGGAATCCCGAGCCCCGTCCGAAACCGAGCGTTGTGAACGCATGCATGAAGGACCGCGAATTCTTGCCCTGGGTGGGGGCGATGGGCGGGGGGCGAGTGGGGGGTGGGGGGGGGGGGGGAGGGCGAACATAATCCCCTCGGGGGGTCACCGGGGCCCCGACGCGACGCCCCAGGTCTTGCGCCAGACAGCCCCTGCAATCAACGCCACCGCAGCCTACTGCCACCTCTTGACTCTGAGACGGCCACAAAGCGTTTCTGGACTGGCACTTCCTCTGACCGCGCCGAAACTCTCCAAGATAACCCGACGACCCCTGAGAAGCACCCAACCAACCCTCAGGAAACAACTGCGTGAATTGCTCAGGGGGCCCCGCAATCGATGTAAGGGGGCGGCTCCTGGGAGGCGCCCCAGAGCCGGCCGATCAAGGGGCCGCGAGGCCGGATTGGGTCCAACGCCCGCCGTCGGAGCACGTCGGGACCCAGAGCGCAAAATTCTTGACTGACCTCAGGGAGGAGGAAAAAGGTCGAGATCTTCCCTTCAGCGATGTCCAGAAGGTCTTCGCGCTCCGGGGCCTGGCACAGCTGCGCAGCGTCGGCCCTGGCTCATTTTTGCCCAGGGGCTCGCTGCGGCGGCGACGGCCCCCCCCACTTGCGTCGGCGAGGCACTCATCGGGAGCTCACCAAACGCGCAAGCTACCTCCTGAAGATGATTGTGGGGGCGACAAATCCAGCTCTGCAGACGTGTTACACGCGTAGCCTGGGCCGCAATCCTCATCGGGGCAATGCCCCAGTGCTTCAAAACTTGCAGAGTCGACAGCGTGTTTACATGGACGCCCGCCCCGAGCAGCTGCTCGGCCACGCATTGCCGCGCGTCTGTAGTGAGCGACCTGTCGGTCCAATCAATGGCACTCGCTGTTCGAAACCAAGAGCGCCCCCATATTCGCATGAGCCGAATTCATCACCCTGCGCAAAGGAAAACGCACCCTCCAGTTCCGCGGGATTCCACGCATATTCCAGATGGCCAATGCCCTATGAAACGAAGTCTTGATAGCCCCCCCCCCTTAGCAATCTCGTTCCCCGCGACGCCCCGCCAGCGCGGTTGGTCGCCCCCCCCCCCCCCCCCCAAAGCTACGTTTGACGTCGGGGATGCTGCCCGGGATCGGGGGCCTCTGAAAATTTCCCCGCACGAGGCGACGCGGCGCCCTCCTGCCTAGACGAGAACCCGGGCGGACGAGAGCCCCCCCCCCAAAAAGAAAACGCATCGCGGCGTCCTGCCTATAGCATCGCTGCCCCAGGAAAACGTCGAGGGAGTTCATTTGGCGTCATCGCCTCGCGACGCAGTTGACGCGCGCCCGCCCCCCATTCCCCGTGCCCCCCGTCGTCTTCAATAAATAGCGTCTCCGCATCATCAGCGCAGCTCGTGAGCGAGACATCCACAGCGACATCTTAAAAACGGATGGCGAGGGGCTAGCAGTGCATCCGCGCGCGCGTCAAACTCTCGGTGCACATCTCGACAGCCTGCAATAGACGGCCAGAGAGCTCGGTAGAAGCTGCGAACAACGAGGGCCCCCCCCCCCCTCGAAGCACCAGAGCCCGCCTCGACGTCAAGGTGCCCTTCAAACAGCGGGGGGCGAACCGCGGCTTCGCGATAGCGCTGCTGGGACAGAAGACAATCACGAGGCCGAAAAAGCTGCCCCGCTGCATCGTCGAGCGCATTGGTCATGTCTTTGCCTTGGAACAATGGTCAGAAACCCGGGCCTCGGACTCGAAGCACGCTGCATTGCCGCGCTAGGAGGGCCCATTCCTTGCGACGACCACGAGCGAAACCGCGTTTGCTAGGGCGCAAAGAACCCCTTGCCCAATACATCCAGCGATGAGTGCACAGCCCCTCTCCCGTCGCCCCCTTCCGCCGCCTTCTTATGTGTAGCAGCGCCCTGACTGCGGCGCCAGGCAACTGGCGCGCGCGCGCGCGGAAAACTGGCGCCTCTCGGCCTGGGTTTCCCGCTGCCCACCCCGCTCCAGCGGGGCGGAAGGTCAGCCTGTCCCGAGGTCGCAGCGACGTCGACCAAATTTCACGCGGCACCGAATCTGCAGGGCATGCTCTCCTCCCCGGGGCTCTCCTCAAGTGCCCGAAGATCCCCGCGCGGCTCCTCCTCCGCCTCCTCCGCGCAGTCCATCCATCTTCCTGGCCAGGACAAGGTGTTCAAGATGACGTCGCCTGAAGCCCTGGAAATCGATTTTCCGAGCGGCCATCCCCCCCCCGCCTCCCCCTGGGAGATTCCAAACGTCGAGCCGCCTTCTTCCGTGGGCGCAGATCCAGACATGGGCATAGTTCCGCTGCTTGATGCCCCAGGCAGAACCAGCATCAAGCCTAGAATACTGGCGCGCCTCAGCGAAGCGCCTCGCTCGCCAGGCATCGTGAAATAGCTCGCGGAAAAAACGCTGGCTGCTGCGCTGCCCCCCCCACCCCCCCTCCTTCTCCTCAGTGGTAAACTCTAGCGACCGACGAAACTCACGCCGCCGACGGGGAAGATCCCCCCGGCGCCCCCGCAATTCAGCTTGCGAACTAGTCGCAGTAGACTCCGCGCCATATTGATCAAGTCAACGCCTGATCAAGATCTCGTTCGCAATCTCGAAAAAACATATGGAGTCGGCGTGGCCAGAAGACCCACCAGCTCTCGCCCCCGCTTGGCGAATTCATTCTCAACTGGTGCAATGATAAGCTCTGGCCGACGGGTCCCTCTCTTCGACCCTTCGATCAGAGAAGTCAAATCCCAAGTCTGCTTCATCATCCTTCCTCTTCCAGGATATGCCACGCAGCGTGGATGGGAACGCGGTCCCGTGGGCAGCGAATACGAATATGCTGCGCATCCCTGCCTAGCCTTCGAAGCGCGCCAGTCTTGTGTAAGTGAGGCACGCATAACGAATAACATGTCTAGCCGTTTCTGCTCCCCTTGCGGCCCGTTCCAGGTAGGGGCGAACGGGTGCCCCCCATCAGCAAAAACAAAATCGTGTTCTCCCAAGACCTTGACGAAGTTCGCTGCCAGAGCCCAGTGAGTAAAGCTCCCGAAACGCCACAAACTCCCGCAATACCTCAATCACCGAGAAGTGACTGTAGCCCGCCTCCTCCGCACTCCCAATCCCATCATTCAGATCCACCGCGAGTGCCGGCGTGGTCCTACCCCGAGACTTCCGCAGCACATCGCTGATACATTTCGCGAGCAGCTCCGCCGTCTTGAAAGAGTTCGGCCTGGCGGCCAGCACTCTCGGCTCGGGTGGGACATCGGCGGCGATGGGGATAATGCCGATGCCGTTTAGCTTCAGGCGGAGACCGAGTCCCCGACAAAAAAGTGAGCGAGGTGGCAGAAGAGGGTGGCCCACTATGTTGGTTTCCTTCCGCGCGGGCCCCAAGAGAATCGAACAACCCGTGGCTTTGTTACTGCGCGGACCTGGGAGCCAACCCGCCTGGATTATCAACGAATTGCCCACTCTCTTCCTCGTCACCTGGCCGCCTGCTGGAGATCGCAACTGGGTGCCTCTGAACATCGATGTGTCAAAGCCCATGAAGTTGAGCTCGAGATCCTCGATGCGGTCGATCCTGCTTGCGCTCACAGGGTTGAAGGCAGCGACCCGCCCATCGCCTTCTGGCGGCGGCCCCCGACATTGAACCCTCAACTCGGCAAGCTGCGCGTATGAATTGGCATGTGCGGCGACCTGATTTTGCCGAGCGACCGACATGAGCTTGTGCCGACGTGTCGCTGGAAGCGGAAGAACAAGAAGGGAAGGATGAGGAGGAGAAGGAGGAAGAGGAACAGCAGGACGAGGAAGTCAAGGCCGAGGGAGCCCGAGCAGGAGGGGGGGGCGGGCCCGCGGAGCCCCCCCCCCCCGCGCCGCCAGGGTCGCAGGGGGACGCAGGAGAGCAACGGGGGGCCAGAGCGCTCCTCGGCGCAGCGCGCGCGCGGAGGCGAGCAGCGGCGCTGCCTCCTCGCGCCGCCTCGAAGTGCTTTGGCGCGGCTCTGGGGAGAGCAGCGCTCCCTTCAGCAGCGGCGCTGCCTCCTCCTCCTCCTCCTCCTCCTCCTCTTCCTCCTCCTCCTCCTCCGCCTCCTCCCCCCCGCCTCCTCTTCCTTCTTCTGCTTTCGGGGACATGCCAAGATGGGATACAGATCTGTGGATCTGGCGCGCGCGCGCGCGCCAAATCTGCGGATCGGGGGGAAACAAAACGAAACATGAAGCGGGACCTGTCGCCAATCCACGCGCCTCAATCCATGTCTGCGCTTCCTCGGTCCTCCCCGTCCACCCTGCCCCGGGGATCGGGGAGAGCGAACTCCCGAAACGCGAGGAGGTTCCCATGTTCGCGTTCCCTCGGTCCGCCCCCTCCGCACTCCTCCCCGCCTCCGCACCCCGCAGCGGCGTCGTGAGCGGCAGGCAGCGGGGGCGGAGGCGACGCCGGCAGCGGCATCCGGCAGCCGCACCCCGCGGCTCGGGCGGGGCGGGGCGGCGGCGCTGCCGCCCGGCCCAGATCCGCCCACCGTCGGTCCCCGATCGCCTCCAGGGGTCTTCCCTGGCAAGTTTTTTCGGGGCATTTTCGGCCGTGGCGATCCCCCTCCCCCTGTTTCTCCTCCTCCTCCTCCTCCTCCTCCTC